GGAAGGAGGCAAAAGAAAAAGAGGCAAGAGAGAATATTATGTGTCCAGGACCTCACTGTGAATAAATCACAGAGTTCCTTAGTAGCTAGAGTGAGCTATTGAGAAATGACAGAAAGAATGGTCAGGGAGGGGCTAAAGTTGTAAGTGGTAGAGTGTTTGCCTAGCACATGTGAGGCACTGGGTTCGATTCTCAACACCATACTTTTAAAAAAGAATGGTCAGGGAGGGTCACAGGAAAAAATTCCTTGGACTTTGGGTAACCTATAGGCCTGGGTCTATGGGATGGATTTTGGGGAAGTGGCAGGGAGGAGAGAAGGTATTACCTGGACAGAACTCCAGCCATCTATCTGCCCCAGGGTGCTCAGTACTCCCCAGTCTACCAGGGTCAGCTCTTGTAGCTCTCGTTCTCCTAGACCAATTAAGAGCCTGCCCAGCTGCAGGATCTGCTCAGGACGAAATCCTCGGGGGGGACCCCACAACTAGGAAAAAAAGAGGAATAATGTGAATGGAGAAAGCACTGCACTAGGAGTCAAAATGTTGGGTCTTAGTCTTGTCTCTAACCTTAGCTGTGGAACACTGGGCAAATCACTTGCCTTTTCTTTACTTTCCTCAACTGTAAAATGAGAGAATTGGATTATAGTTTCTGGGACTAAAAAATTAGAGTATCAATAGAAAAAAGAAAACTCTAGTCTATGAGTTCTAAACCTTCAAGTATACCAGAGTCACTGATGTATCTGTTAAAATGTAGATTACTAGACCCAACCTGAGATTCTTAGTCTAATATGGGACCCCAGGAACAGCATTTTAAAAACCTGCCACTCAGATAATTTAATACACACTAATTTTGATTCCCACTACTCTAGTCTCTGTATCCACTATTCTAGCCCCTTTCTTCAACATTGATCCCCTCTGATCTATTTGTGATCCAAAACCCTCTAACCCTTTAATCTCCTGTTTCTTCCCCTCTCACCCAACTCCCCATTTTCTTGTGTCCTATAACACTCTCAACCAACTTCCTCATGTTTTCCCCCCTGCAACTCCTACTGGCTTCTCTATCCCTAACCTGCTTTGCCTTGCCCATGGCTGCTCGTAGTTCTTCTGGCCCAAGTCCTGGATCTCCTGCAAATAGTGCCAGGCAGTCCTCAAAGTCCGAGAGCTCCATTTCAGCAATCTGTGTTGCAGACCAGGCTGCTGGGAAGGTCCCCCTTATGTCTGCACAATTTGGTACAGGTTCTGAGTAGAAAGGCAGGTCTGGGGGTCAGTATAGTATTAAAATATGCCCAGAGAGATATCTGTGGATGAATGACCTTTCCAACTTTTGGAGGGTGGGGTAGTGTAGGCAGGTATGAGTCAAGGAATGATTATGGGGTGAGATTTATAGGGCTCAGAGAATATTAGAACAATAAGTGATTGAAGAGGAACAAGGGCTGATTTCATAAATGCACTACTGAGGAAGTTGCCCAGTAATTTAATGACAAAGCTAAATTAGAATTCAGGTATCTAACTCCAAAGAATTTCTAGCTCCCAAGTAGTCTTCTTCCTTCTGGGGATCTCAGTACAGAGCTCCACACATAGCCCAGGAAGAACTGAGTTAAGAGTCCTAGACTAAAAACCTAATGGGTTATAAACTCCCAGAATCACAGAACCTTAGAACTAGAAAAGAATTTGAATATCATTCCTCCAATCATTTTGTTTTGTAAATTACCAAACCAAACCTGCTACCACAGATTTGTGAATTTGCTCTAAGGACTCACCACACCACTGAGCTAAAACCCCAGCTCTAGAGGCCAGACTTCTGACTGCATCATTGTTTGAGACCCTCTTCTGTATGGCCTGCTGGACATATGAGTATTTGGGTAGCTTCACCTGGAAGATCCTCAGCAGCTGGCCGCACAAACCCAGCTACCAGGGCTGCTTTCTTGGGAGTAAGATGTGGCCCCAGACACAACTGTCCAACTCTGCTCTGTTCCCAGCTATGCTGCTTTTCTAGAAGCCGCTCCAGGGTCTCTGGACCCAAAGCCTCCTGCATGACAGAGGAAAGGGAAGGTGGGGAGAGCCACACAGGATCAGGGCCAGTTGCTGCAGCTGCTATGTCTGTCAGCAGTACTTTCCAGAATCAGACTGCACACTTTTTGGCCTAAGATCCCCAATACCAGCTTATAGTCCCCTCTGTGCATTTACTCTCCTTTGTTCTTTCATCTCACCCTGGGGATCAAGGAAATATCCTCAGTAGACAAAGTAAATACTAGGCGTCCAGCTTGCTCTACTTCATCCTGGCTCCAGAACTCTGGTTTCCTGGGGGACAGGAAGAAGATCATGGGCTAGGGAGCTGAGGGAACTATGGAAAAAAAGAGGATATGCTAGGATTGGGAGAACTTAGGACTTAAGCAAATGGAATAGTCTGCCCCTGAAGATGATGGTTGAGGGGCTGGGTATAGGGTAAGTTAGAATTCTGAAGTTCTCAAAGGTCCATACCCAAGAACAGGCTCCTGTAACAGCAGCCATCCCAGCTCTGTAGCAAACGTCTCTCCTAGGCAGAATCCCTGCAGCTGACTGAGATGGGATAGCAGGATTGGTAGGGGAATTCGCCGTGTGCTCTCTATCCCTAGGAATCCAACCAAGGGACCCAGTTTCTCCAGCACTTCCTCTGAGATTGGGGTCTCCTTTGGAGCCTGGAGAAGAGTATCAATCCTTGGACAATTTATCCCTGACTCAGAGTACCAGCCTCTTTGATCCAGACACCAAGCCCCTTGACCTTCCCTCCCTCATGCTCCCAAGTTAGCATCTTTGTGAGTTCATTGCCTTTGTTCACTTTTTAAAAATAGCGAATGAGCCCAGATATGAGGAGGCATAAAGACTGAAAGGTGGAATCCAAGAGATTTTTTGAACTTCAAGGGGTATGGACAAGAAACATGAAGCAGATTATCAAGGAGTAGAATCAAGAGGCAGATTAAGGGGATAAGGCCTTATACATAGGAACCTATTTAGTAGCAAGGAGAGGGAGGTGGGGGTTAGAACACAGAGAACACTGTTTGAAAGGTACACATTGCCAAGGGTAACAGATCTGAATCTGGAAGCGTGAACTCTTACCAGGTTTTGTAGTACCCTCTCT